ATTACCAGAAGGTATTTACATACTGCAATTTTTTCTATACTGAAATATTCCTAAATGATTACCATTATTGTTTTTACACACAAAAAATGGAGAGGTTGCATAGAAAATGTTTTTTGTGCAGGAAAAAATATGCCTATACAGGAAACATGTTTTCTTAAGGAAACCAAACAACTATGTTTTGTGTAATAAAAGCAGATGTATTTTTGTATAGAATAGTTTGCCAGATTATTTTGCAATGTGCAAATATGAAGAGAAAATGGGAAAAAAAATATTCAAGTTCACTTGAAGAGGGGAGACAACTACAGAAATTATTCATTCTTCCATATGATGATACATCACTACTTTTAACTCTTATGCATCCTTATTTTTTCCATCTTAAAATGATTCTGTCTTGTTCTTGGGATGGGCTTTAGCACAGCTGGTTAAGCCACCAGCTGCAGAAAATCTTGCCCATTGAAACATCGACAGTTCAAGCCGAGTTGGGTAAGCTCCCAACCATCAGCCCAACTTCTGCTCACCTAACAATTCGAAAACAGTAATGTGAGTAGAAATAGGTACTGCTTTGGTGGGGAGGCAAAAAAAAAGTGCCCATGTGGATATGCCGGTGATTTGATCAGGAGAGCAACTAAAGACAACAAAGCTCCTCAGCATGGAAGATGGAGCGACAGCACCCCTCCCATGGCCTCAACCTCCCTCTGTTATTGGAGGTTGAGCTCAGCCTCCCAATGCCTGAGATGAAAAAAGATGAGAAGCCTTTACCTCTGTTTATTAGGGCTGGGCGGTTTCGTTTCGTTAATTCGTAATTCGTTAATAATTCGTTAATTTTTTCAATTACAAAACGATAACGAACCATTCTGGAGCAATTATTAAAAAAAACGAATTTTCAAAAACGTTTTGTAAATGCTTCGTATTTCGATATTGTATTCGTTTCGTTATTGTTTTGAGGTCGTTTCGTTATTATTTCCGCATGTCTGGGCCAGTTTTATGGTTTAATTAGTGAAAAAAAATTATAATATCACACCAACAGTCAACAACAGAGGGAGAGGGAAGCTTCAGAAGGTTTTGGAGGTTTTTTAGCGTATTTCGCGGTCGCGTCCGCCATTAACGAATCGATTCGTTATTGCTTCGGAAATCGATTCGTTAATTTTTTACCATTTACGAAATTTCGTAAATATCGAACTTTTTAAAAGGAAAATTTTGTAATTATTTTAAATATCGAAACAAAAAAACCCCAAATACAAATCGATTTTAGAAACAAATTTTTCCGTTGTTACCCAGGCCTACTGTTTATGTACTGTCTGTCTTTGTTAATTGTGTATAGTGCTCCCTCGCTACTTCGCGGTTCGCTTTACGCGGACTTGCTGTTTTGTAGATTTTTTAAATACAATATTACAATATTTACATTACTATGGGCCTCTAAAAAAGGAGTGTGAGGCCCCTCGCATCCTGTCACTTTTTTACTCATTCCTTAATGTATAAATAATGTATAAATATTACAATTAATGTAATATTTAATATATAAACGATGTTTAAATATTACTATTATTATTATAGCAACCCTACTTTGCGGATTTTCACTTATTGCGGGTGGTCCTGGAACGTAACTAGAACTGTGTAACTACATTGATTGTTTGCTGTACATGTGTACTTTAATCCGCCCTGAGTCCCTTCGATGAGATAGGGCAGAATATAAATAAATAAATAAATAAATAAATAAATATGACTGCTACACAGTGCCTGCCCCCCCAATCATTCCACTAATAGGATGCTTGCCATAGTCTGAGAACTCATAAATTGCCTTTCCATGTGCTGCATGTGCCCACTTCTGCAGTGTAGTTCTCCAGAACTAAGAAATGTTAAGTAGGCAGACCCCTGGAAATGACAGAAATAAATAAAGGACGGGATGAGTGGATAGAAAGAAGTGACAAATTAATGAAAAACCAAGAATGATTGCAACTTGCCATGTTATTTTGAACACACAATGTTTTATAAATATAGGCCCAGATTATCTGGCTAGTCCTAACTAAGGTAGAGCCATTGGATGAATTAGATTGGACTACATGTTGACTCACCATGGAACCACTGATCCAGTGGATCTACCTTAGATGGGAGTAAGCAACAGGATTCTAGCCAAAGTGTATTGATTTAATCCGTATGTGCATTGAGCAAGGAAATGGGGCTGTGTTTGCCTTTTTTCCTGGAAAACCCAATATACACTGGTAAGCAAGCATTTATGGGCCCCTTTCTGACCTGAAACCACCTAAAGCAGATCCATTGACTCAGTTGTTGAATGGTGAGTCAACAGTTAAGTAAATCCCATCAATTCAATGTGTCTGCTCTAGATGGGACTACCAACAAGGATTCAGGCCATTATGAGAAGCATGCTTGATTAACGGCCCTTCCAGAGAGGCCCTATATCCCAAGATGTAATTCCAGGTTTCTGTTTATCCCAGTGCGGACTCATATAATCCGGTTTAAAGCAGAAAACCTGGGATCAGATCTTGGGTTATAAGGGCCTCTGTCTGGAAGGGTCTTAATAGACCATGACAAAGTGTAAAATAAAAAGAGTCAGAAGAGGAGAGGGAAAGGAAATATCCAGGATGAAAAATAAAACAAAACAATACTTTGGATAGAGGAGCACAGAGAAATAATTCTTCACCTTAAACAGATCCTGGTTTGGAAGATTGGAGTTCTATGCAGGTTCTGAGAGAGCTGGGGATATTCTTGTTTGGAAGCAGGAAGAGGAATTTTAAGGAGCAACTAATGCAATTCCAAAAAGCATCACAGATTTTCTTTGGTTGAACAAGGGATGCAGGAGGCAGGGCATTTAAGGGTTGGGCAGCATGGGAACACCCTTGGAAGAGCTGTCACTATCAGCAGGCACAACATTAGACCCAATTTAAGCAAAGGGCTGACGGGAATACCTAAGGGTACAGGCTTGGAAGGAGCAAATGGGAAGCAAAAGAAACGGGGATGAAGGAGCTAGTTCACCTGTTATATCTTCAAGCACAGGCAGGGTCCAGAGGAAGGAGAGGAAACAGGTGGGAAGACCTCAAACATCCTTACAAGGATTTGGTCTAACTATGGCAGTGGTTCTCAACCTGTGGGTCCTCAGGTGTTTTGGCCTACAACTCCCAGAAATCCCAACTGTTAGGATTTCTGGGAGTTGAAGGCCAAAACATCTGGAGACCCAAAGGTTGAGAACTACTGAACTGTGGCAAAGCTAATATCAGTTGGTCTTCTAGTATGATGAACTGTCCTGATAAGCTTCCAATGAGGAGAACACATCAGGATTCATTACAACATCTATCATCCTATTGTTGAAGGCTTTCATGGCCGGAATCACTGGGTTGTTGTGGCATTGCCTCTAGACCATGGCCATATAGCCCGAAAAAACCTACAACAACCCATCTATCAACCTGTTTGAAACATTCCCCATGGCATGGTTGGGCCACTTTCGGGAACTGTGATGAAGCCTTTACAGATCGGCTTGTTTACACTATCTAATCTGGTTATACTAACTACTAACTAGGACTTAGAAATATGTTAAAATAGTTGCAGTAATGTTATTTCAATGGGGGTGGGTGGGACTAGTTACTGGAGTGGAGATGAGAGCATTGCCCTAAATAGAAATTTTGCTCTCATCCCCATGAAACTTGTCAGAATATGTATATTGTGTGTTTTAAATGTAATTCTTGTATTGCCAATATGGATGCCACTTAGAATGTAATGCTATACTGAAGTGTTTATGTTGAGGCTGTGATTGAGTGACCTTAAGATAAGCTCTCTGCTACTGAGAAAATGTAGGGAGTTAACCGTTTGGAGCAGCAGAGCTAAGTGGCTGCAAAGACTGTTTTGACTTTCAGTTTTCCTGGTTCCTTCTTGTGTGTCGTTCACTGTAGATGGACGTGTTTTAGATGTGCTTAGTAAACTGAGTTTTCCTTGTAACCTGACATTTTCAGAGTCCACGATTTTACAGAGCTGTATCTGTTGTATTTAGCATTTGCTTCTGTCAAGTTGCGCCTTAGCTTGACAAAACTATCCTTCAGTCCTCAAACTCTCAGCATTGCAGAGACAGAGACAACAAGATTTGGTCACATCTAGAACTTATTTGCTGTGTCCACATTCCCTTGGTCACTTTGCTTGCCCATTTTCTTTGGAAGTCTTTACATGTCCAACTGAAGCTTTAAGGGGTTTTTTCCAATGCTAGAAATTTAGTAAATTAAGGGGAGTTCCATTTTGGGGGTAGAGGTATTATTTGGGTAGGAAAACATTTCTTCCCTCAGTAAGCTCAAAATGGAAATGGGCAGAGGAAGATGGTGCACTTTGGACCTATCTTTCCCTACATAACATGAAGAGGTGGAATTGTCCTCTGTTTATATCAGAAGCTGAGGGAATCTGAATCTCTCCATCCACATCTTCTATTCTCCTTAGCTCTGGTAATTTCTGAGAGAAAGGGCTGGGATCCTATCTTGGACTATGATTCCCAAAATCTCTCATAGGTCATAGGACTTGTAGTCCAAGAAGAAATGTTTTCAGGCTTTCTTTAGGTCTACATCAGTGGTTCTCAACCTGGGGTCCCCAGATATTTTTGGCCTACAACTCCCAGAAGTCCCATCCAGTTTACCAGCTGTTAGGATTTCTGGGAGTTGAAGGCCAAAAACATCTGGCGACCCCAGGTTGAGAACCACTGGTCTACATGAATGTATTTTACTCACATCAACTTATTTTACTCTTGCTTGACATGGACAACATCTTAAGGCTAGAGGAGAAGAGCAAAAGGAAAGTAGCCATTCAAGGTGTGGGTGAATTTGCAGTTCTTTGGAAGGGCAAGACAGATTGAGCGAGGGACAGCCCAGACACTACAAACTACACAATTTCACACAAAGAGAGAGCAAGGACGCAAACATACATACATACATAAATATTGATAAAAAGAAAATTCAAGTTCAATCCCCAAACCAGGTCACTTGTTGATGCCTCACCTGTTATGTGCTCACCTGATCTACAAGCCATGTCTACGTCTTTCTCGAAATCAGTCTGAAAGACAGAGAAAACACAAAGAGGAAGTGGTCAGTGGGGCGGGAAGGAGCGGGTGGGCCTGGGAGGGGATCTGAAATCCAAAAATGCAAATAGGCAGACAATAATGCCAAAAACACCCTGATGAGAACAAAAGCACATAGAATGCCAAGCTATTTACTGTTGGAAGTAATAGTAATACAAGTGGGTTCAGTTCTTGAATATTGTAAATATTGTTGTTTTCATGGAAACTTTTTTAGTACAACTCAAGAATTTTTTGTGCAAAAGATGTTTTTGCAAAAGCATTCTCGAAATGTCAGAAATAATTCATTTTTTCATGTGAGAATCAAATAAGCAATAGGTTGTTGTGAGTTTCCCAGACTGTATGGCCATGTTCCAGAAGTATTCTCTCCCGACATTTCACCTGCATCTGTGGTAGGCATCCTCAGAGATTGTCTGCCACAAATGCAGGTGAAAAGTCAGGAAAGAATACTTCTGGAACATGGTCATACAGCCCGGAAAACTCACAACAACCCAGTGACTCTGGACATGAAAGCCTTGACAATAAATAAGCAATACTTAATAGTCTTACATAGAATGCCACAATGAATAGGTACTTTTTTCAGAGATGGAAAAATTATACAATACATGCTTCTAAATAAAAAGGGAATATAATTCTGCAGTACCGGGGGCCATTCCAGGAAAATGGCTCCATTGAATCAGGAGAAGATAGGCCTCCAGTGTATGCTGCATGAAAGGAGTATCTCTTCCAATGACCACAGAGAAAGGGTTGCTCCACAACATGTTCTACATTTCTTTGACTTATCCAGGTTAATGGCAGTGAAACCTTAAAAAGTGCATTACATCTGATGTGTGAGCGTGTGGGTATGTGTACGTGTGTGCATGCCTTCAGGCCTCCTGTAGAATTATGGTGTCATCATGAAATTTGTAGGGATTTTTAATCCAAGAAATATTCAGCAGTCGTATTTGTTGGAGCACTTAGTATTTGTTGGAGCTTTCCCATTCAAGTAGTAACCAGGGTTGACCCTGCTTAGCTGCCAAGATATATGTGCCTTCAATTCACCTGCCATATTATAGTGACCTCATGCATTTCATAGAATTCTCTTAAGCAAGGAATCCTCAGAGATAGTTTCTTCCTATGAAAGACAGCTTACTGTACATGGTTTTCGTTGGCATCCATCTCCCATCCAAACTAGGATGGAAGTGCTTAGCTTCCAAGATCAGACAGGATCTGGTGCTCTTCCAGTATCAGGTAGAACTCCAGAAGGGTTTACATGGGCAACATTGGTAAGAACACACCTGGAATACTGTGTCCAATTCTGGGCACCACAGTTTAATGGAGTTGACAGGCTGGAATGTGTCCAGAGGAAGGCAACTTAAATGATCAAGGATCTGGAGAACAAGCTATATGACGAACAGCTGAAAGAGCTGGGCATGTTTAGCCTGCAGAAGAGAAGGCTGAGAGGAGACATGATGGCCATGTATAAATATGTGAGGGGAAGTTATAGGGAGGAGGGAGCAAGCTTGTTTTCTGCTGTCTTGGAGACAACAACGCGGAACAATGGCTTCAGAATTTGGCAGAAATCGTTGAATGATTTCAATGATTTCACCCAAACATAAAGAAGAACTGTGTTCAGCAGTGGAACTCTTTGCCACGGAGTGGGGTGGAGTCTTCTTTGGAGAGGCCGGAGAGCCATCTTTCAGGGGTGCTTTGAATGCTTCTTAGCAGGGGGTGGGACTGGATGGCCCATTGAGTTCTCCTCCAACTTCTATGATTCTAGAGGACCTGGCATTTGTGTGAGGATGGCATTGATGTTTTTTGCAAGTGGCAAGCTGTTTTATCCAATTGGAATGACACCACTAGATACATCCTACACCCAGGCTTCATTGGGACATGTAGTGCCCCCCACGAACATGCCAAATAGGATGCTCTTCATCCAAAACAAGTCAGCACAGGATTGCAACCTACTTCAACTGGTGCCATATTTGTCCATCACCCAACCAACCTCCCTCAGCTCATCACTGCATCTAGTCTAGACTTTCAACCTCCAAACTAAGCCACATGTAACTCCTCCACTGAGGCTCAAGGTCACGTCTCCTGGGAAAACTTAGTTGATATAGAAGGTATTAAAAATGTAAGGGAGAACTGGTTTTCCCAGAAAACCATATTGTGTATTGAGAACTGTGCTTTGTTCACATGATATAACTTTCACCATGAAATTCATGTGGGAGAAACACGTGATTTTAATAAGTGAGACAGTACTTTGAGGCTGGATCGATGCTGCCGTATAATCCAGTTTCAGAATGTGGTTTAATTGCACTGAATTGAATTATATCAGTCTACACTGCCCTATAATCCAGATCAATGCAGTTAATCCACATTTTGAAACTGGAATTTAGGGCAGTGTAGATCCAGCCTGACTTTCAACTCCATCAGTCCTAGAAAGCCTCATTAGACCAAGAGGCACTTTATCCTACCATGAGTTGAGCATGTCCGTTCTGAAATGATCCTCCAGAATCGCCATTCCCTTCTTCTTGACGGTCCACCACTCGACATTTCACAGCATCCTGCACCTAAAATGAGATATTGTATAAGAAAGGGTCAGAAAAAAGTTTCTGACTACATGGGTTATGGGTCTAGGAAGCACTGGGACAAAGGGGGGGGGGGAGAGCACCAAAATGGGCATTCATTAGAGAACTGTAACCAACTAGCTATTCATCTCATCCCACCCAGAGATGATGTGCTTATAAAGCAAGGATGCAAAGACTATTTGGAAATATTTCCCCAAAACATGATTACAAAACACGTTTTTCATGTATTGAGCAATCCTAATGAGATGACTTCTGGAGTGAGGTGAATTTTCACATTTTGGAACTTGTTCTGTGTGAAAATTAATACACGGCTTATGTGCACTGATCTTGTGATGCCTTCTAGGATCTCAGCTCTGCAATAATCATTTCTAATCAGACTAAAGAGATGTAGACAGTCTATCCCTGCAATTCATATGGAAGGAAGAGCACCATTCAGCATCTTTGAGGGCCCTAATGCCCTTGTTCAGACTGAGAACATTCTTAGTGAATTCCCCCACCTTTGTGATTTGTGTCACCTAGGCTTGGGCGGTTTCGTTCGTTAATTTCGTAATTCGTTATTAATTCGTATTTAAATTAGCTTACGATCCAATATTGAGCCATGCAGGAATAGTGTGAGGAGTAAATTAGATTTGAAACAATTTTTTTCAATTTATTTCGTAATTATTTCGTTATTATTTTGTAATTATTTCAAAATTATTTAGTAACCATTTCGTAATTATTTTTGCACGTCTGGTGCAAATTTTATAGTTGTTGTTTGTTTTATCACACCAACAGTCAACAACAACTGAATGTATCCCCAGATGTGGTTCACATCTCCCACATGCCTTTGTGATGTCACTGGCCCAAGCACATTAATTAAAAAGACTGTTTTTACTTGGCACCACGATGACACTAATTGGGCCTCAAGGGAAAGATATCCCACAATGGGCCTGTTACAACCAAAACAGAGCTCTTCTCCATCCTTCCACAGTGCATTACCATCCCTGGTGTGACACCATGGAGGATTCCTGCCATAGACCTCAGACCTTGGCCAACAGCAGATAGATACTCACCTCTCTTCTCAGGATGCAGTGGACCATGACAATGACAAAACCCTCCAAGGAGTCAAAGACTGCAAAGAGGATCTGGAAGAGCGCAGACCGGCGGTCAGTGATAGCCAGCACGGCTGACATCCAGGTCAGAGCAAGGAGAGGAAGGACCACACAGGAGCTCCACAGGGATGCCCTGTGAGAAGAAAGAGAAGAAAGAGAACATCATTTAGCTTTCAGGGTATGCTGTGAGGTGATCACTCATGTGGGTGAATCCCACCAGCCTTGTGCTCCCAAAGTTTTGCAAGAGGGATCAACTTTTGGTACAGATCGGATTATATTCCGAGAAGCCAATGAAATAAAAATACAGGAGCATGCAGATAAACAAAAACAGCTTGGGTTGTTATCTCAGGTAGACCTCAGCTGACCCACTATGCACCTCTGCAGGCCAAGACAAAGAAAAAAATCTAGAGCAGTGTTTCTCAACCTTCCTAATGCTGTGACCCCTTAATAGAGTTCCTCATGTTGTGGTGACCCCCAACCATAACATTATTTTTGTTGCTACTTCATAACTGTCATTTTGCTACTGTTATGAACCGCCATGTAAATATCTGATATGCAGGATGTATTTTCAAATTCCAAATACCCGATATGCCCAAATTTGAATACTGGTGGAGTTGGGGGATGATTGATTTTGTCATTTGGAAATGTTGGTGTTGCTGGGATTTATAGTTCAATTGAATTGAATCAAACTTGGCACACAGAATTCCCATGACCAAGAGAAAATACTGGGAGGGTCTGGTGGACACTGACCTTGAGTTTTTGGAGCTGTAGTTCACCTACACCCAGATATACTGTGGACTCAAACAATGGTGGATCTGGACCAAACTTGGCACAAATACTCAATATGCCCAAATGTGAACACTGGTGGAGTTCGGGGAAAATAGACCTTGACATTTGGGAGTTGTAGTTGTTGGCATTTATAGTTCACCCACAACGAAATAGCATTCTGAACCCCACCAATGATAGAATTGGACCAAACTTCCCACAGAACCCCTATGACTAACAGAAAATATTTGTTTTCTGATGGTCTTTGGTGGCCCCTCTGACATCCCTTTGTGACCCCCACAGGGGTCCCGACCCCCAGGTTGAGAAACACTGATTTAGAGCATGCTCATGGGTCAATTCTATGATAAAATTTGCAAACTTTGTAGACCACGTATTGGAACAACATCTTTAAATTTTCCATGCGGATCTTTTTTTTAGGTTCAAGAAAACTCGGTTTGTTCCTGTTCTTCCTTTCTAGATCATAGCAGGCTCTTGGGATTGTAATAAATGCTTTTCCTTGTACCTGACTTAATGAAATTCTGAGTTAAAAGCCATACGGTGTATCTTTTTTTATATATACCTAAGACTGACATTCTGCTGGGGAGACACGAAATAACACGTACATGGCACTGCTGTGTTGCTACGGCAATGGAGAGCTTAAACAAGTCCATTACAAGATTTCCCAAGGCTGACGCCTCTAACAAACAGGACAATCTAATGCAGTGCTTCTCAGCCTTTGGCACTCCAAAGAGATGAGCTTTAGCTCCCAGAATCCCTGTACATCAGTTGCATTGGCTGGAACTTTTGGAAGCTATAGTCCAAACCAACTGGAGGACCAAACTGAGAACCCATGATATAATGTTAGTTTTTCCCTCTCTCTACAAATGTCCTGAGATGTGATCCATTCTAAAGAGGACATTTGTACAGTCAAATTAATCTTCAGCTGCTGGGGCACTCCAAACTCAGGTTTATTGAAAAGAGCAAATGGTGAACTAGATGAACATGCTGGTAGTGGGAAGCAGGAGGATCTACTTTAGATTGATGTTGTTGCTGTTGTTCATTCGTTCAGTCATTTCCGACACTTTGTGACCTCATGGACTAGCCCACACCAGAGCTCCCTGTTGGCCATCACCTTCCCCAGCTCCTTCAGAGTCAAGCCATCCATCCATCTTGCCCTTGGTCTGCCCCTCTTCCCTTTTCCTTCCATTTTCCCCAACCTCATTGTCTCTTTTGAACTGTGGTGTTGGAGGAAAGTTCTGAGAGTGCCTTGGACTGCGAGAAGATCCAACCAGTCCATCCTCCAGGAAATAAAGCCCGCCTGCTCACTGGAGGGAAGGATACTAGAGACAAAGTTGAAGTACTTTGGCCACATCATGAGGAAACAGCAAAGCCTAGAGAAGACAATTATGCTGGGGAAAGTGGAAGGCAAAATGGATGGATGGCATCCTTGAAGTGACTGGACTGACCTTGAAGGAGGTGGGGGTGGTGACGGCTGACAGGGAGCTCTGGCGTGGGCTGGTCCATGAGGTCACGAAGAGTCGGAGACGACTGAACAAATGAACAACAACAATATTGTCTTCTCCAAGCTTTCCTGTCTCCTCATGATGTGGCCAAAGTACTTCAACTTTGCCTCTACTATCCTTCCCTCCAATGAGCAATCGGGCTTTATTTCCTGAAGTATGGATGACTGCTACTCTAATCTTATTGTGGTAGGAATTGTTTGAGTTGTATTTTTTGATCCTTGGGAATATTGCAAGCTATACACATCTGCCATGGTTGAAAGAGAGTTTCTGTGCATGGAATCTCACGTGTTCCACTCAAACAGCCAGAGGGGGAAAAAAACAACCCAAGATGGAAGAGAAGTAAAATACTGCACGCCATGTAAACCTTTTGTATGAAAGTGTGTCAATAATAATGGGTTCGTGGGACATTCTTCATACAATTTTCTACCACTGGAATTAACTCATAACCCTGTTTGGATTTGTATGGAAAACACAATTTACCTGCAGGGAATAGTCAAAACCTAGTGCTTTGTTTCTGTAGTCTCTATTTCTGGAATTTGTTTTGTATTTCTGCATTTGCATTTCTGTATTTTTCATAAATATTTTCTGGAAAATATCTCTCAATGGAAGACAAAGACCACCTGGGGAGCACCGGGAAGACTCGTTCTCTGTTATCATCCACATTAACCATCAGTTCAAAGGGTACAATCCTTTTTTGAAGTGAAGAGAGACTTTTCAAAAGATGAATAAAAGCTTCTTCAGACAGACTGAGCAGCATGTCAAAAAGTATTACAGTTTTTAAAAACTAGATTATAAATCCAATAAAAACACAATCCTACCATCCACCACTGCATATATCAATAGTGGCATGTCTCCCATTTCTACTTCCGCAATTAATCCAACAGGAAAATAATTACCCCTTGAGACATGATATTAACAGAATTGACTTCCGGACAAGCACAGGGAGAGGAGAAGAGAACCCAGCCCAACCAAAAAGAACCAACAGAGATGACACAGGGATGAGGGTAGGAGGAAATGACACAGAAGCAGAGGTAGATATCTCATGCAAGGAACAAGCAAGTCAACAGGTCAGTTTGGCTATGGCAAATTACTCATTGGGGTTATGGGCCAGGGACAATGAAGTGGCATTTGTATTTGCTCAACCCGATGCAGTCAATTCCACAGCCAGTGACGTTCTGGATCTTGGGGAGACTTTTCCAATGGATGACCTAGCTTTTCAGTCTTAAGTGTCCTGACATGCCCTCATTGATGCTCAGTTCTATCAATGTGTGATAACAGAGTCTACCTGACATCGTCATTGGTTAGGACTTTCTCAGAAATATTTGTTTGGTTGATGAATGGTGTCAGTGGTCTCCAACATCATCAGAAAAAAGTGAATTGTGGTGGGACAGCTGGGATCAACGGGAAAAGAGACTTCACCTAAACAATAGGAAGAACTTCCCGAGGTAAGAGTTGTTCAACAGTGGAATATGCTGCTGCCTTGTAGTGCAGTCATTTCCGTCTCTGGAGGTTTTCAAACAGAAGCCATCTGTTGGGAGTGCTTAGTTTGTGTATTCCTGCATGTCAGAATGTGGTTGAAATGGAAGGCCCTAGAGGTCTCTTCCAAATCTGTAATACTAACAGAATATAGATCTCCTTTGGATAACTACCATATGCTATTATATGTAAGATTAGGGTCAGAATTTTTGAGAATTAGTGTGGAGTAATGATTTGAGTATTGGGCTAGGGCAGTGATGGGCAACCTTTTGAGCTTGGTGTGTCAAAATTTGCCAAAAACGTGAGCATAACTTGGGTGGAGTGTCACTTTGAGAAAAAACCCATAATTTTGCAATATTTATAGTTTAAATAAGAAAAAAATGTATAATCCATGCTGAGTTATGAAGTGAACAATGTTCAAACATGCAGATGTTAAATTTGTAGAGCCTTTTACAAATTTAAGGATGGAATTAGATTGGCTCTTATAAGGTGTATTTCTTTGTATGTGGCCGCATGTGTCTGCGGGTCATCAAAAATAGCCTTGCGTGTCAGTGCTGACACGCATGTCATCGGTTCACCATCATGGGGCTAGGGGCACATTCACATTGTATTATTATTATTATTATTATTATTATTATTATTATTAAAATGTTGAAAAGCAATGCTTTTGGCTTTGGAAAGATTAGCCGTTTACAATAAATGTTGTTCGGGGGACAACTGTATTTACTCAGTCTTTGAGGAAGCTCTTTCCATGGCTACCAGTGTCCTCATAGTAGACTCAAATCAAGGAAAAGCTTTATGAGAATTATCACTCCTCTTGGTGTCTCCCCAGCAACAGCAAGGATATCCCCTCTGGGCAGCTAAACCAGGAAATCCCAACTGGATGTCCCCCCATGAGAGAGGGTCTTCCTTGAGGGGCAAACCAAGAATGGGCAACTTGGAAGTCCCTGAACAGGCTCAGAAGCGGAGTGGGCAGATCAAAAGACAACCTTGGAAAATTGCATGACCTAAAAGAATCCCACACCTTGTGTGACTGTGGAGCAGAGCAGACAACTCCACATCTGTATGCTTGTCCATAATGCCCTGCCTCATGTACAGAGGAGGAATTGTTTGAGGCTACAGACAATGCCATTGCTGTTGCCCGTTTTTGGTCAAAAGATATTAGCCACCCGCACCCCTACTATTTTGATCAGTTTTATACTCATTTATGCAATGCTTTTGATGCAAAATAAAATTATTTTATTGTTGTTGTTTATTTAATGCAGTTTGACACCACTATGTAATCTGAGTGTTGTAGTTTTACAAGATCAAACAATGGCAGTGCCTCACCAAACAACGATTCCCATGATTCCATAGCATTGATCCTGTGGTAGTTTAGGTGGAATCTAACTGTATAAATTCTACAGTGTAGATGCATCTTAGGAATATGGAAACCAGGTTCTGAATCCCTGCTCAGCCATTGAAACCCACTGGATGACCTTAGGCCAGAGGTTCTCAACCTGGGGTCCCCAGATGTTTTTGGCCTTCAACTCCCAGAAATCCTAACAGCTGGTAAACTGGCTGGGATTTCTGGGAGTTGTAGGCCAGAAACATCTGAGGACCTCAGGTTGACAACCACTGCCTTAGGCAAAAACACTCTCAGCCATAGAGGAAGCAAATAATCTTCTGTCAAAAATACTCTGAGAGATTGGCCTTGAAGTCACTGTGAATTAGAAATGCAACAAAGCATTTTAAGAGCAAATCAACAGGTTTTCCCCTACTTCCTCTGGAAAGGAAAACCAGGGGAAGACCTACATCTTGGGAGCAGTGAGTTCCCTCTCGGTTTTCCAGCTGTTTACCAACAGATGAGTTCAGTTGTATGAGAGTGCTCCCAGTAAAGAATCTGAGTCAGTGTTGTGTGCACTATTTGAGAGAAAGGCTCCAAACAATTTGGATTAGCTTTGGGAAGGAGCAGGTGTAAAAATGAAAGTGGATCTACCAGTCCAACAAAAAATGGATCCATCAGATGGTTTTGAAAACTGGAGAAGAGGAATGCAACCAGTATCTCCAATCTTCATCACTGCAGATTCACAAATTTCATAATAGAGGGAAGTATTGAAGATGGCATGAAATGAAAGCAAGAGAAAGAGAGGAACAGATAGTGGGGAAGCTGGTATATTACTGGGGAAGCTGGGAAAATGGCTGGAGAGGGTCTCATTACACTGTAGAGAGCTTTTAAGGAACTTTGAAGCCGGTACTAGGAGCTGAGGTAAAGGAGAAAGAAGAGGCAAATGGAAGAGAAAAGGACAGCTGCATTTAGCAAAGTCCTTTGGAAGCATGCCATGGAATGTGGCAGGAAGGGAAACCAATAAGGGGCGGGTTAGAATGTCCTAAAGCACAATTGAGCAGAAATATATTTTGGGTGATGGCATCAAGAGGAATGTCATGTACTGAAAGAGAAGCAGCAGAAGTGTGGAAGGTGAAACAACCCCAATCCTGAATGTCTTTTAAATGCAGGAAAAATACTATTAGCATAGGAAGAACCTTATGTACTCATGTATAAGTCTAGAAATGTGAGTCAAAAAATCAACCCCAGAAGTTGGATTGATTTATCCATGGGTCAATGTGACTATTCTGCATTCTCTCTCTCTTTTGTTAAAAGGAATAATCCTTTCCATTAAATAGTGATGAAAGGTGAGGCTTTAATCCCTCAAAGGAGAACCCAAAAGAACCACAGACTCCCCCTACTATTTCTTCCATCACTAGGAAATAGTCATGGCTAGGCTATAAGTGGCTAATGGCCCAAGGTGACATTTCTACCCACAGTTCATATCAAAATATACAATTTTTGCCCCAAAATGTGCCCTCGACTTAGATCAACTTATACATGAGCATGTATGTCATGTCAGGTTTTTGGCAGGAGAATGAAAAACTTAATTGGCGGGTTCTATATACAATTGAAGATGATCAAAGGACTAAATGAGTATATTTAAGTGAAGGCATGGAATTGCACAGAAATTGCCCTGCAGTCACTATACCCACATGTACCCATCTCTCTGAACTTTTGCCATTTAATACTGGATGATGACTGATCTTTCTGGCTGGATACAAACATGATTTTTTTTGGTGGCTGTGCAATGGACATATTTAGTTCATGAAGGATGTGAACCATTTCATATGAGACTCAATCTGGTTGTTAATCATGATAGGATTAAGCCTGGCGTATCAAGAGGGTTTACTTATGTATTGATTCACCACTCAACCATTGATTGTATTGCTATTTTCCAGTTAGGACTAACCAACAGGATTCCATTGACATGGTGGCACGTTCTTGGATGGTGCATAACTTTTAACTGGTGTGCCCCATGCACCATTTGATTACTGGTATTTCCAAAACACCTGGGCCTAAAGTGGGAGCCCAAAAAAAGGGTTGAAATAACTTCTACATTTTCTGGATGACATATAGAATGCCTACATGCCTGACTTGGCCACTGTAGTCCATGCTCTGGTTACATCCCGTTTAGACTACTGCAACGCTCTCTACGTGGGGTTGCCTTGAAGACGGCTCGGAAGCTCCAACTAGTCCAACGTTCGGCAGCCATGATACTAACAGGAGCGGAGCGCAGGGAGCATACAACTCCTCTGCTGCACCAGCTCCACTGGCTGATTTGCTACCGGGCTCAATTCAAAGTGCTGGCGTTGGCCTATAAAGCCCTAAACGGTTCTGGCCCAAGCTACCTATCCGAACGTATCTCTGCCTATGAACCCACCAGGACTCTAAGATCTTCTGGGGAGGCCCTGCTCTTGATCCCGCCTGCATCACAAGCACGGCTGGCGGGGACGAGGGACAGGGCCTTCTCTGTGCTGGCCCCTCGGCTGTGGAACACCCTTCCCATGGACATTAGATCAGCTCCTTCGTTAATGGTGTTTCGAAGAAAACTAAAAACCTGGCTGTTTGAACAGGCATTCAGATAAACAATGCAATGAATACGATGAATATAGGAACGGAATTATGGATGACGAATTGGATCACGATTCTAGTTACGAGACGTTAATGTGTTGTTATTGATGTGTCATTATTTTGTATATTATGCTGTTAATGGTTTTAAATATTGTATGTTGTACGATTGACTTTTTTGCTCTTGTTATGAACCGCGTTGAGTCGTCTACGGGCTGAGAAACTGCGGTATACAGCAAAGTAAGTAAATAAATAAATAAATAGTATCTTAGCCAAAGCAAAGTTCTCCCATAAAATGTGTTTTTTTTATCAGTAGAGAAAACATTTAGAACCTAAATTGATAAACATTAGAAGGCAAGAAAAATGGAATAGGCCGATTGACTTCCATTGAAATATTCAAGTTCTGAGTATCAAAATAGCTTCCCAAGTTTATCTAACTGCGCGTAGCATTTTAAAGAGTAAGAAAGTTAGCCATCTGAATGTAGACTAAGGGAAGGACAGAGGGGAGCAGAGGGGCTGGGTGGGCAGAAGTAACCAAACTGGGTGCAAAAGAGGAGCATGGAAAAGGAGAATCGTAACTCAAAGAAATAATTTCAAAAAAAAAGGAGAAAGGAAGGAAGTTGAAATTAGAGGAACTAACATGGCGTTACTGGTGGCTGTGGCCGAAACTTCACCGGAAGACACCACTCCACACTTGGAACATTTGAGCGTGATGCCGTAAAGGGGCACTGCCATCTGACTGCAATTAAAATTAAAAGACTGAAACGAAACAAAACACTTTGCTCGTGAACACAAATGAAAAGGAAGGGGGAGAAAAGAAAATAAGGAAGGAGGGGGGAGAAGAATATTAAGCTAAAATGTTTTGGGGGGAAGGGAGGGAAGCTGAATAAAATAAAATTTGAACCAACAACATCCATAGCTTGAAAGAGAGAAGAGAGAAAGAGAGGAACAAAATAACAGAAAGTGGGGGGTTGACATTCTCATCTGTATCGTACTACATGAGGAAAACCATGAGCCCATCTCCCTCCTGTGCTAAATAATTGAAGAGCTGTGTCAAAGTCAATGGGTTTGGATGGAACTGTGTTGGAAAATGATTGATCAATATTTTGGAGCTGTGGTACCACAACACTACCCACTATAGCAGTGGTTCTCAACCTGGGGTCCCCAGATGTTTTTGGCCTATAACTCCCAGAAATCCTAACAGCTGATAAACTGGCTGAGATTTCTGGGAGCTGTAGGCCAAAAATATCTGGGTACCCCAGGTTGAGAACCACTGCACTATAGCATCTCACCCATTTGGACTCTAAACTTTGATGACAGAGAAACATAAGCAAGACCATCAGCATGGAATGGCCAAGCAGAAGGATCTACCAGAAAGTGATAGTCTCCTCAACCAATGCTATTGCCTTTGCTCCTCTGAGGAGCATCTACTTGCTGTCATAACTAAGACTTTTCTGTGAGAACTAACAGAAAATGCCAACTTGGTGGTCTTGACATGATGAATAATTATTTCTGATCAACACAAAATAAACATGTTACAGGAGCACACTGATAGCAATATGTTGAGGAGGTAATGTATATACCTCTATTATCCCTTCCTTTCTACATGTGCTGTTTTGCTCCTTCTCTATTGGGATGTCCTTTGGTTCAGATCAGCTTCCACTTCTGATCCAGCAACAAACAGGAATGTAAGTTGTTGGTCAGGTTGTTGGTCAGAATCCACTGACAGTCTGCATTGGAGTAAACTTATCGAATTAACTCGATTTATTGGTGCTTTGTCTTTCCCAACTGGATAAGAATTTTTTTAATAGACCACACTGAAAGTTTGATATTTTTACCTAATTTATAGGGTGTCAAAGAGGGATTCAATCAATTTACTTTCCTTGTGTCCCCCCCCCCCCGCTACTCCCAATTTACACCAGTGGCACATGAAGTTCTAGTTGGTTACGGCCAAGGTTTTAGCCACCATTTTGCTTTACCAGAATCCATCTGAGAATACAGTACCCAGGTGACCTCTGGAGAATACAGTACCCAGGTGACTTCTGGAGAATACAGTACCCAGGTGACTTCTGGAGGAAAAACATAGCAGCTAACAACGGTTGCTGGAAATAAGCATTCTACTTAATGCTCCAACTCTCATAGCATCAGAGGGATTTTCATACTGGGCCTTTTATTCTTGGATAGTTACGTGAACCTTCATAAACTTTAATGAATAATTTTACTACTTCTTTTCCTTGTGGTGAGAAAATAATGCAAACTTTCAGTTTTCAAAAACTATTTGTAGTTTGGAACACATTCTGTGAAAGGAAAAAAATCCTATCACAGAACAGAATGCCTTTTCTGTTCAGAAATTCCTATTTTCTGCACAAAAAGGTGATTTTGTGCAAAATAGGTCTTCAACTGCAAATATTCTTACCTGTTTCTAACATTCTCTGTTTCAGGGTTTTGGGACACTCAAGAAAAATATTTTGGATCAATTCTGGGATTTAAAAAAAACCCCCAATTATGGGTCAAAGTTAGAGATGTTGAGAAAGAGAAAGTTCAACTGTAATAGAAAATGTATAAAGACATGAAGGCACGGTGGAATCTTGTAGATCTGCTGTCATATTATATTTAGCTATATAGTTCCTAAACAGTGAAATAGATGGGTTGTTGTAAGTTTTTTTTTGGGCTGTATGGCCATGTTCCAGAAGCATTGTCTCCTGACATTTCGCCTGCCATAGATGCAGGTTAAATGTCAGGAGAGAATGGTTCTGGAAAATGGCCATACAGCCTAAAAAAAACTTACAACAACCCAGGGATTCTGGCCATGAAAGCCTTTGATAATACAGTGAAATAGATCTCATCTCATATCATTTGATAAGGATAATGCATCAGTTGACTCCTTTGCTATATATCTATTAAATACATTTGCATTCCAAATCTTTGCAGGAATTCCTTTTCCAACACAGTTCCAAAAACAAAACAAAACAAAACAAAAACTGGGCTGAAATCAGCCAGGAAATTGACCCAGCCTTGAGTTTTCCAGATCTTTTCTGCATTTCTGACAAGTAACACATTTCAAACAGGGCAAGAGACTGGTCAACCCCTTCAACATGAATAGCACATCTTTAAACCATTTCACATGCAAGCAAAGAAATTGACAGAAAAGGAAGGGGAGAAGATATGAAAAGTGAAGCCCCACATTTTCCTCGGTGTTTTCATTTTCAAATCACATTCAACACAGTCAATAACCAGCCAGAGGAGGAATTCATAGAAACATGGCTGCATTTTACTAAGACCAGGAATTGCAGTTGAGAAGTTATTTAGCTGTGTGGTTTGATACAGGATTTATGTGTAACACAGATATGCAAAATACCCCACGTGAAGGATAAGCAGAGTGTGACCTAGTTCTTATTCTTTTCAAGTTTTGTGATGATTCTCTGCTCTGTGTCCCACACTAACCACCTTCTCATCTAAATAATGGAATTCTCAAATACCTTTTGGTATGTTTTCATATATGCAGGTGCAGCTGTGGTAGATGGGCTCTTCCAAACCAGTTGATGGCCAGAGGATTTGGTGGGACTTGTACTTACAGTGGAAAACAAGCTTGCTCCCTCCTCTCTATGACTTCCCCTCACATATTTATGCATGGCTATCTTGTCTCCTCTCAGCCTCCTCTTCTTCAGGCTAAACATGTCCAGCTCTTTAAGCTGCTCCTCATAGGGCTTGTTCTCCAGACCCTTGATCATTTTAATTGCCCTCCTCTGGAAAACATTCCAGCTTCTCAATATCCCTCTTCAATTGTGGTGCCCAGAATTGGACACAATATTCCAGGTGTGGTCTGACCAAGGGAGAATAGAGCATGGGGAGCATGACTTCCCTGGATTTAGACACTAGACTCCTATTGATGCAGGCCAAAATCCCATTGGCTTTTTTAGCTGCAGCATCACATTTTTGGCTCATGTTTAACTTGTTGTCCACAAGGACTCCAAGATCTTTTTTTATATGTACTGCTGTCAAGCCAGGAGTTTCCCATTCTTTATGTTTGCATTTCTTTTTCTCGGCTGAAGTGGAGTGTCTTGAATTGTCCCCATTGAACTTCTTTTTGTTAGTTTTGGCCAATCATCTCTCTAATCTGTTAAGATGGTTTTGAATTCTGCTCCTGTCCTCTGGAGTCTTGGCTATCCCTCCCAATTTGTTGTCATCTGCAAACTTGATCAACATGCCTTCTAAGCCTTCATCTAAGTCATTAATAAAGATGTTGAACAGGACCTACACTTATGAGACCCTTGTCACATGCTCCTTCTCCATTGACACAAGGGCACCATTTGGTTTCCGCAATGTTGAGGAGAACTCCCAGAGCTCTGTGGCTGTTCAGCAATGGTGATAATGACAGGGAAGGTAATGGGATGGTCCAGTGGGCCTGAATTGGGGATTGTGTGTCTCGTCTGTGCCACCACTGTGGGTCAGCCACAGATTGTGTGGACATGTCCCGGACCAGTCTGGAACATTACCACTTTGATTTAACTGCAGATTAACTAGTTTAGTCCTAAAACAGAGTCTAGACAGGAATGATGTGCCCTGTGTTTCTGTTCACATCAAATATTTGTCCTGTAACATATCAGCAGGTAATGCCTAGAATCTTGTTGGTGGAGGTGGAGCTGGAAGAAGAAGAAAGTGGAGTCGGAGAAGTCGGTGCTGCAGTCCCAAAGGAAGATAGCCATTGGAACAATATGGTGCTCAGAGTTGGCAAATTTGTGACCATGTTGTTTTCTCTGAACACTTCTGCATGCAACCCTCATTCTTTTCTCTGAGGCAAATGCAGAAATGACATCTGCCTAGTTCTTCCTGGGGGAAATCTCTGAGGAGGGCTAGCCTCATTTTTTAAATGTTCAAAGGACTCTCCTGTGGGTTGGGCTGCAGCAGAGGGAGTGTGCTGCAGTGAATTCTTTATATTACGCACAGGAAGGTCTGGCCACATGAGACTATTTGGGCATGGTTTCAGAACAGATTGTAGAATCCAGCTCTGCTCTTTGGCATTCTTTTCACTGAAGAAAAGTAAGAAGCTTCTGCATGTAAAGTAGGGGGGTAGGCAGCCATGTAGGGACCAGGAGACTTTCAGAATTCATATCACAACAATGTGCAACTCTGGAGCAAATCCAAAGACAGTAGACCCTCAGTTCACCAGAACTCACTTGCAACTGGAAAAGTTGTACTTTAAAAAAAAATAGCTATCTTTATAATACAGTAAAGCAGCAAAATCTTCAGTTTTATTTGTCTTTACTTCCTTTTAACAGCTATATTTCAACATTAATACATATTTTATGATGTAGTATATTAATATGGAATATAGTATTAGTTACGCCTATTTAATCAGAACTCTTAGGCTTGTACATAGATCTGTTACTGTTGGCTGGATTCTGGTAGACCCCAGTAACCATTTTCACGCACCTCCCGAAAATGGGCAGGTAGCTGAGTAGCCATTGGTGGCAATGGGAACTTACGAGGCTCCCCTTTTCATTTCTGGAACCCTTTCCTTTTTCCCTTCAAGCAAACCTGGGTTTCAGCAAAAGGAGTAAGAAAACACCCTATCCACCCCATTATTGTGTGGGGGAGGGGGGCTTCCCAGGCTCCCCTTCCTGTCATTTTAGGCATCATTTGTCCTTATATCCTTCATTAAGACCTGGTTTAAAAGCATCAGTTAAGATACCACTCTTCCTGCTATCCTTTCCCTTTTGTCTGTAGAGAAGACCTGGGTTTAATGCTACATTAAAGCTGTTTCTACTCTAGAGGAGAGGTGCTGCAGGCAGGCACACACACTGTCTCTCCCTGTAGCACACACACAGCTTTCCAAGGCATTTTAAGGAGGCCCGAGGAAGGAAGAGCAATGGACCGGAGCTATCTATCCTGGGCTTCCTTAAAAAAGCCCTCTTTTTTCACTATTGCAGGAGCTGCCTGGTGTGGCACACTTCAGTCTCCTTTCTGCTTTGGGTTTAATGTTTGTTGAAGCTGTTTCTACTTTCTACTCCAGAAGAGAGGTAACTAGATGGTAGTAGTTTTGTATTATTATTATTATTATTATTATTATTATTATTAATTATTATCTTTTTGAAGTATTTTCTGAAGGAGAGGAAGGGAAGGAGAAAAAGAAGCTAAAACTCTCCAAACCCCTAAATGTGCACGTGTGCACCCCACTCACTCATCCCCAACTCCCAATCAGCCCCGCTAAATGAAAACAAAATAAAGGAAAATAAAAAAGATTCAACTGTGATGCTGAATAGGGGAGGAGCAGCAGCAATAGGCTGCTGTGTGATTCCGTTATGGATGGGAACCCATGATGGCTGGGCCCTTGCTGCTATGGACTTCCGAAGAAGCCAAAGGAAACGACTAAAAAGAGATCTTTCTCAAGCCTAGTAACTTTCAAGCGATTGGAAACTACATTTATCCAGCATCTGGTTATCCAGTGCTGGTTAACTGAGAGTCTACTGTACCTCTAAGTTTTTGTGGGTTTTTTCGGGCTATATGGCCATGTTCTAGAGGCATTTCTCCTAGAACATGGCCATATAGCCTGAAAAAACCCACAAGAACTTAGTGATTCCAGCCATGAAAGCCTTTGACAATATACTGTACCTCTATTTTCCTCTGCAGTCCCTCTCAAAATGGAGAAGTTAAGTGACACCATGTAGCTTCCTATCACTATTTTGGCAGGGACTGCAGAGGAAATGATTGCAAAGGCAAACCTTTCCTCTGCAGAGTGTCTCAAAATAGCAGCAGAAGATGGATCTCTTTCTGTTGTCCCTTTGAGAGTGGCTAGAGAAGATAACAAGCATTGCTAAAGTTTTGGAAGCACCTCTGGGGGTGAGGTATGGTTATCTTTGAATGAGTAAGGGAGCTTTTTGTATGGTTGGGTTGTTGTAGGTTTTTTCGGGCTATATGGCCATGGTCTAGAGGCATTCTCTCCTGACGTTTCGCCTGCATCTATGGCAAGCATCCTCAGAAGGATGTTGGAGGTCTGTTGGAACTAGGAAAAAGGGTTTATATATCTGTGGAATGACCAAGGTGGGACAAAGGACTCTTGTCTGTTGGAGCTAGGCATGAATATTTCAACTGACCACCTTGATTAGCATTTGATGGCCTGGCAGTGCCTGGAGCAATCTTTTGTTGAGATGTGATTATTAGATGTCCTTGTTTGTTTCCTCTCTGCTGTTGTGCTGTTGTAATTTTAGTGTTTTTTTTAATACTGGTAGCCAGATTTTGTTCATTTTCATGGTTTCCTCCTTTCTGTTGAAATTGTCCACGTGCTTGTGGATTTCAACGGCTTCTCTGTGTAGCCTGACATGGTGGTTGTGAGAGTGGTCCAGCATTTCTGTGTTCTCTAATAATATGCTGTGTCCAGGTTGGTTCACCAGGTGCTCTGCTATGGCTGATTTCTTTGGTTGAAGGAGTCTGCAGTGTTTGGGTGCTGCGTTTGTATGGTTTCTAGGTAAAATAAATGCCCCAAACCATACCATACTTTAAAAACAAATGTGGGTCGGAGGGCTTTGAGAAATTAGTGTAGGGCTTCTGGGGCCACATGCTGTCCACCTTACTCTAAATCAGGCATGAGCACACTTTGGTCCTCCAGATGTTTTGGACTTCAACTCTCTACCGGGTGTTAGGAATTGTGGGAGCTGAAGACCAAAATCCCTGGAGGGACAAAGTTTTCTCATTCCTGCTCTAAACCCTATTGTTATTTCCAACCAAAGTAGTGCCATTGAATCCATTTTATTAACCTGTATATATTCACCTACAATTCAAGTATTTATTCAATGTGTATATTCCCTTTTGGGAGAAACCAATAGAATTTCTGCTGGACCTGTTCCCATCTTGATCCTAAGCTTGCAGGAGATATGAGGAGATATGATAGCCATATATAAATATGTGAGAGGAAGCCACAGGGAAGAGGGAGCAAGCTTGTTTACTGCTTCCATGGAGATTAGGACGCGGAACAATGGCTTCAAACTACAAGAAAGGAGATTCCATCTGAACATGAGGAAGAACTTCCTGACTGTGAGAGCCGTTCAGCAGTAGAACTCTCTGCCCCAGAGTGTGGTGGAGGCTCCTTCCTTGGAAGCATTCAAACAGAGGCTGGATGGCCATCTGTCAGGGGTGATTTGAATGCAATATTCCTGCTTCTTGGCAGAATGGGGTTGGACTGGATGGCCCATGAGGTCTCTTCCAACTTCTTGATTCTAATTGTGTGAGTTCACACTGCATTCCGTGTTGCATTTGTGTTCTTTTAACAAACCACACAAGGGTGAAAAAGAAATTGCTTTCTCCTCTCTCTCACACACACGACTGATTTCGCCCTTCTTTTTCCCCCCAATTGACCTTTTTCAGACAATCGCTCATGTTTTCTTCCTCCTTCCCTGACTGGTTACCAAGCGTGACTTTTTAATTTCCGGTTTTCACCCATTTGCTTAGAGGAATGATTGATATAAGGCATACCCTGCCCGTTCCTTCAGTTTCTTATCTGTTATTCCATCTTTGGATACAAGTTTGTTAAACACCAGAATACCAATAACCATGTTCACCTGTTGGAAAAGAAACAAGAACAGATAGGTTTGTTTGGAAGCCCAATACACATTCAGGTCAAATTCAGCAAGACAATCCTATATTAACGTGCATTCACACATTTCCTTGTCCTAAGTGAAAAACAAACCATGGGTAAGATCCTGCATCAGAAACATACATCTATATAATTAAAAATGTAATGTTCTGGGTTGTTGTAGGTTTTTTCAGGCTATATTGCCATGGTCTAGAGGCATTCTCTCCTGACGTTTTGCCTGCATCTATGGCAAGCATCCTCAGAGGCACCTCACTACCCCTATAGATGCAGGCGAAACATCAGGAAAGAATGCCTCTAGACCATGGCCATATAGCCCGAAAAAACCTACAACAACCCAGTGATTCCGGCCATGAAAGCCTTCAACAATGTAATGTTCGTTTGTGGGATTAACATAACACAAAAACCACTGAACGAATTGACACCAAATTTGGACACAATACACTTATAAGGCCAACGAGTAACCATCACTCATAAAAAACACTTAAAAACACAGTAGAAGATACTTTAAAAGCCAAAAAATAAAAATACCATACACACACACACACATATATAGAAACAAACACACATATATACACATATAAATAAAAATATACACACATATAAGCGCATAAAAACACATATACACAACTGGGCCACAGCAACGTGTGGCAGGGGATGGCTAGTCTAAAATATATTTACATTTTTGAATGAAATGTGCCCATAATCAGCCTTTAACATGAATAATTTCCGATACTGTTGAAGATTTTACAAACACACACACACACACACACAAAGGAATGTACTCATGATATTATGGCTATGATGTGTCTCCCCATTTGACGTCCAAACCTCACCTTAAAGTCAAGCCAATAGATCTCAGAAACCAATGAGCGCAGCTGCACTGTAGAATTAATGTGGTTTGATATCACTTGAACTACCATAGGATCTTGAAAGTGTTGTTTGTTGAAGTGCTAGCACTCTTTGGCAGAGAAGGCTCTAAAGTTCTTGTAAAACTACAGCTCCCAGGATTGCATCACATTGAGCCATGGTGTCAAACTATTTATTCTATAGTGTAGATGCGCTGTGGAAATTTCCAAGAGGGGCAATGAAGGATGGTCTGTCCCAGTGGTTCTCAACCTGGGGTTCCCAGATGTTTTTGGCCTTCAACTCCCAGAAATCCTAACAGCTGGTAAACTGGCTGGAATTTCTGGGAGTTGTAGGCCAAAACACCTGGGGACACACAGGTTGAGAACCACTGGATCCTGACAGTAAGTGGAGTGATGCAACAGTATCTCCGAAGAGCTGGTGTCCATGCTTTCAAGGTCATGCCACCACTTGCTAATGGGATGGAGTTGGGCCCACCATTCCTCAGTGTCCTGCTCAATGGCACTGCAGAATGCCACCTCTCTGTATAGCTTGGAAACCATGTTAACTGCTGCAAGGATGCCTGCTATAGATGTAGGTGAAATGTCAGGAGAGACTGCTTCTGGAACATGGCCAGACTGTCTGGAAAAACCCACAAAAACCCCTAAGAAGTGTTTCTTTTCTAGATACTTCAGTGTGATTCTATACTATGAGAGACTGTTTCTGGAACATGGCCATACAGCCCGGAAAACTCACAGCAACCCAGTAATTCCTGCCACGAAAGCCTTCAACAACACACTTCTGATGGATTTATTTTTGGAGCATGGGTAGGTAAGTTGAACCTTGAGTATTGAGTCAATAGATAACGGAGCTACAGTATATACTGTTTTTCAAAAAGTCACGAGATTGTATTTTTTTGTGCCTGCAGAGTTACTTTATGTGTAAAGTAACTATCTGATGTCCTTTAAGAAAATCTTGAAATGTTTGGAAAAAAGGACATGTCAACAATATGCAAAAAAATCTCATAATCTATGGATGAGGGAGATTGTTTTCATTTTTTTTTGTTCTTGAATGAGAAAAAGTAAGATTTCCATCCTTCTGGATGAGCCATCCCTTTCATCATGCCTTGCTATGCCTCTCCCCCCATGCCCCCCAGCCAGTTAAGCTTCACTTAAGAGCAGTTATTGGCAAATCGGAACTGTCAGCAGGACTTTGGCCAAGGTCAAAGAAGCCTAGATTGCTTCCGCAGCAGATTCAGAGCTCGGGTGCCTTTCCCATGATGAACGTTTCGTGTCTGGGAAAAGCAGACCTTGGAATTCAACCAATTTTTCAGGAGAGTGCCAAGGAATACTAATTGTGGGAGACAACCAGTTCATCTACATGAGAAACGGCGGGTCTCTTCAAGTCAATGCTTTCATAGGCCACTTCTCTACATTCCCTTTAAAAGTCACCCCAAAAGCTGCTGAAAGGCATTTGGATCCAAGGTGGGAAACCCACCAGGCCAATAGCCTTTGGAGATGTGTTGCTATAGCTTGCCCATGCCTGACCTATAGGTTGTCTCAAACCTTGCAAACTTCTGATATTTTCTGTGTCATTTAAGCACAAAGTCAGTTTATCAATAAATGAACTACGGACCCTTCCACACAGTCCTATATTCGGGAATATCAAGGCAGAAAATCCTAGATTATCTGAGTGTGGACTCAGGCCCCTTCCACACAGCTGAATAAAATCCCACATCTTCTGCTTTGAACTGGAATATATGGAAGTGTGGACACAAATAACCTAGGGAGTTTCCAGATAGGCATTTATCCCAGGAGCATTCATGGTTAAAAAATGTGAATGTACCTGGGGGCCATGTTTTTTGGGATGGGTGTCCAGATGTTTTCCTGGAACTTTCTGGGAGAACATCTGGACACTGTAACTCTCTCTCCAAAAGCCCCCCAAAGCCCTTTAAAAAACAAAAGAACTTACCCGGCCTCTATTAGAGGGCTGCCGGAGCTCTCCTGGTGTGTAGAAAAATTTCACCAGGAGAAAGGGGGAGCGGCAGAAGCAATTCCCCCCTCCTTTCTCCTGGCACATCATTTCTACACACCAGGATAGCTCCGACAGCCCTATAATGTGGAGGCCAGGTGAGTTATTTTGTTTTTTAAAAAAGCTTTTGTTTTTTTTAATGGCTAAGTCAGCCCAGAAAACTGTGGGACTACTGTCTACACTGCCCCCCTCAAAAGTCCAGAACTTTTGAGGGAGCAGTGCAGATACCAGAAGAACTGGGTTGATCCCACACCTTCCAAGAAGGCATGGAATAAACCCACTAACAAATTAATTCACCACAAACCAGGGTTTCACTGGTTTGTGGTGAATTAATTTGGGTTTGCCTTGGACATCATCTGGACAGCTCCCTTTTAATTACAGGAACTCCCACATTAAAGGGGCTGTCTGAATGGGCCCCCAGTGCAAAGTAGATATTTTGGGATTTTCTGCCTTGGTATTTTGGGATATAGGGCTGCGTGGAAGGGCCCTACATTTCCAGATAAGTCATTCCAAAACAAAGTGTCCTCCATGTTTTGTCGAAGGCTTTCATGGCCGGAATCACTGGGTTGTTGTAGGTTTTTCCGGGTTTGATGGCCATGTTCTGGAGGCATTTTCTCCTGACGTTTTGCCTGCATCTATGGCAAGCATCCTCAGAGGTAGTGAGGTCCTCACTACCTCTGAGGATGCCTGCAACGGTGCAGGCGAAACGTCAGGAGAAAATGCCTCCAGAACATGGCCATATAACCTGGAAAAACCTACAACAACCCAAAGTGTCCTCCAATTACAGCACTGCCTGATCTTCTTCATAATAGTTTATTTTTGTATCATGACCCCCCCCCCTTTAAATAATGAAAGGTTACTAAAAGCTTGATTCCTGGAGTCTTTGTTTAGTTAAAAAGCCTACTAGTTCCTGATAGATCATTTCATTGCAGCTAAACTTATCATTTCTCTAAGAAGCAAACCATTTAATCTCCTCCTTCTTTCCCAAAGTTTCTTGCTCAAATTTACTGAGATCTATAGAATTCATACTCTTAATTAATCTAGAATAGGATTCATGGGGAGAAAGGATCATAGCTTCACTATTTCTGCTTTCCTAAGGGTTATTTCATTTTGATAAATCCTTTAAAATGAGAAATGGAAGTGAGGGGTGAAAACATGGATAAAGACCACATAGGGGGAAACTGCTCATAGGCAGGGATAAAATACCAAAACGACAGCCGCTGCGGGTCCCACAAAGGCATACAGCAGGCCTCCTTCCAAAGAGAGCCAACAGCTGGAAGAGAAAAAGGGAGAAAAGAAAGGTTAGGACAGAAGCAATGCTGGCCTCAAAGCCCAACAAAGCCATTAATATCGCAAAAAGACTATCCTAACTCAATTTGACCAGAGACTTCTTAAGGTAATGGCTGAGCATTTTTCTGTAAGGCAGAAAGTGATGTTCAAGTTCATGTCTGAGAAAAGGGAGTTGCATACACTTGGGCAAAGTGCGGGTTATGTGTCGTATGACAGCTTTGGATCCCTATTTACTAGAGGTGTACAAATTAATCAGATGTCGTCATAACTCAGATTTGCCCTTGCGCTATGCTACTCTGCTGTTGAGTATGCATGCCGGGTGTGGAACACATGTCACAACGCTAAAACAGTGGGTGTGGCTCTTAATGACACATGCCGCATTATCACGGGGTGTCACCATTGGAATCCCACTGGAGCATTGCAGCACACCCAAATACCTGGGAGTCACTCTGGACCGTGCTCTGACCTACAAGAAGCACTGCCTGAACATCAAGCAAAAAGTGGGTGCTAGAAACAATATCATACGAAAGCTGACTGGCACAACCTGGGGATCACAACCAGACACAGTGAAGACATCTGCCCTTGCGCTATGCTACTCTGCTGCTGAGTATGCATTCCCAGTGTGGAACACATCTCACCACACTAAAACAGTAGATGTGGCTCTTAATGAGACATGCCGCATTATCACGGGGTGTCTGCGCCCTACACCACTGGAGAAATTACACTGCTTAGCCGGTATTGCACCACCTGACATCCGCCGGGAAGTGGCAGCCAATAGTGAAAGGACCAAGGCAGAGACATCTCCAGCTCATCCCTTGTTTGGGTATCAGCCAGCACGTCAACGACTTAAATCAAGAAATAGTTTTCTAAGATCTACAGAGACACTCACTGGAACACCCCAGCAAGCGAGAGTCCAAAAGTGGCAGGCTCAAACCCAGAACCTCAATCAATGGCTGATACCAAATGAGAGACTCCCCCCTGGGCACACAGAAGACTGGGCGACTTGGAAGGCGCTGAACAGACTGCGCTCTGGCACCACGAGATGCAGAGCCAACCTTAAGAAATGGGGCCACAAAGTGGAATCCACGACATGTGAGTGTGTAGAAGAGCAAACTATAGACCACCTGCTGCAATGCAACCTGAGCCCTGCCACATGCACAAGGGAGGACCTGCTTGCAGCAACACCAGAGGCACTCCAAGTGGCCAGAAACGGGTCAAAGGACATTTAATCAACTACCAAGTTTGCAAATTCTGTGCTTTGTCTGTCTGTCTGTTTGTTTTGTTCTGTTAGAAATGTAATACAAATGTCTAGTTGCTGATGACACGATAAATAAATATAACTCAGATCAAACTTAAGCATTGCAAGCCCTAAGTTGCCAAGTCAAAAAGTTGTTATTTGTCAAAACTTTTTAAAAAATTCCCATAAATCAGTAGACATATGAATATTTCTGAAAGTTGAGGGGAATGATCACCTATTATCTAGTATCAATTCTATAGAAGATTCAAGGAGATAACTCTTATATTTTTGCATGTTGTTTATAAAAAATTTAATATTCTCTAAAAATGAGTGGATATGCAAAACATTCTGAAATTTGGTAGAATATGAGTGGTGAATGTGTTCTACCACTACAGCAAACTTCATCATGATAGCTCTAAAAATGAAGGTGAGAGAAGCTCCTGAAGTTTTCCCAATGATAGTGATTATTTCATTAATGTGCATGCAGAATTACTATTAATAAAATAAATATGAAATTTTGCTAGTTTCGTTATAATAATGCAATTTTCAGTAACTGAACTTTAGAAACACTTTAGAAATGAAGTGCAACTGGTCCCAGTTTTGTAAGTATTTTTGATCCATTTTTTATTGATTGCATATGCCTATTATTTACAGTCCCTCAAAACTACCAAAGTCCCCAAATCCACCTATTTTTCCACACAGCTATATAATATCCCCATTGAACTGGATTATATGGTAGTGTGGACTCAGATAATCCAGTTCAAAGCAGATATTGGGGATTATTTGTCGTGATATTCTGCGTTATATGACTGTGTGGAAGGATCCTAAAACCCCTAGTGGACCAACATTAGGAAACCCCTAGTCTAAACAATGAATCAGATGATTCTATATGGGGGTGCGGGTGGGGGTAGATTATTAAGTACTGTAAGTTCTTGGAGAGGAGAGCTAAAGAGGTAAGAGGGCAGCTTCTTTCATGTAGGGCCTGTGCAGCATTAAGCCGGGGACCAGCAATCTGTCACATTATTTTGTCTACAAGTTTTAGAGAACCAGAGGTTGTGCAGGATGATCTAAAGGTTCACTCCGGGTCAGAGTGAGATTCCAACCAATTTGTGTAGCTTGCTGTCAACCTTTGCAGCCTGAAAGTCAGTTGCATAAAAATCTCCAGCAAGCATGCAAAGAATCAGGAAGTACTTCAACAGTGTCACAAATGGACGGTGAAGTGACAGCTCCCCTGGTGGCCAGAATACCCTCATGAAAAAGCTGGAATGTTAAATAGCCTCTGTGTGTCTGTCTATATGTTGTGTGTCTATGGCATTGAATGTTTGCCATGTATATGTACATTGTAATCTGCCCTGAGTCTCCTGCGGGGTGAGAAGGGCGGAATATAAATATTGAATATTAGTAGGTTGTTGTTGTTGTTCATTTCGTTCAGTCATCTCCGACTCTTCGTGACCTCATGGACCAGCCCACGCCAGAGATCCCTGTCGGCCGTCACCACCCCCAGCTCCTTCAAGGTCAATCCAGTCACTTCAAGGATGCCATCCATCCATCTTGCCCTTGGTCGGCCCCTCTTTCTTTTACCTTCCACTTTCCCATGCCTATATATATGTGTGTGTGTGTATGTGTGAGTGTTTTTATTTGCTTTCTCCCCAATGCCTATGCTCCACTGTTCTAGTGCAAAATACTGACATTGAGCAAGCAATGACTTCTGCTTCTGTCCTTGCTTATTATCCCTTGTGTGATACAGTGTTCAAAGGCTATAACAAATTGTGCATTGAGATCACCAATGAATTGTTCTGTACTATTCAAGAATATGCAAATCCATGTGAAATGATGATACTAGTCCAACTCCACTTATGCCATCATCAAATGAATACACAGTTCACACAATGGCAACAAATAACTAAATAATACAGGGCAATGTGTAATTAAATGTATACACGTGCATGATGCTGATAGAATTTTGGACAAAGATTGTTGATGTCAAAGAAGTTCTCCAGACTTTGGTTGTCACACAGTCAAGCTAGCGGGGTTCTCCACTCCCACTCCTAATATTTGGGGATTGCACCAACTTTTGTTCTTTTGTTGTGAACATATGTCCAGTCTGATTCATACCAAGCTACATAGATTTCAAAGACAAGTATCTGGCAGAATGCTTTTAAAACATCATTGCTGAAAAGGTCACTTGAAGGTGAACACCTTCCATTTCTCCCAGATTCATCAAAAGTAAACATTGATTGACTTTAGGTTCCTCTTTGAGAGATTCCTTTGAGGTGATGCTTAGGTCTGTTTTCCTCTGAGCTTTTGGGAATCCACCACATGGACATCCCAGGTCCCTAAACACTATCCCGACTGCACTGTTGCTGTTTTCTCTTTGGGTGTCCCTGATAGCATCTGCTCTTGGTTCACAGCCATGCCAACACTTTGCCTTTGGGAATGAATCACATTCTGGGTTTCTGTTAGTCAGGAATCATTAGCAATATTCAGAAAAAATCTCAAGGACAGAGACTGCTGTTGGAATTATAAGGGTCCCAGAGTGATCAGCTTTCTATTTGAGCTTCTTCAGCTACCAGGAGGGTGGCCAGACACCGTTCTTTGTAAACACAGATGCAATTGCTAAAAAGGCAAAAAATACAAGATTTCCAATTGTCAGTCAGTCAGTCAGTAGCCTTTATTTCGATCAACAAACCATCGGCTAGATTTCCAATTGTGGGATTATTGTGATTTTGAGCCGAATATGCAGATGTTTGCATGTCTGTATGTCCCTGCAATGTGAAATCACGGGATTTTTTCAAATCTGGATTTGTTTGTTGATTTTAGATGTTTGTTCCTGATTGGTCAGTTCCTAAAAAGAAGGGAACACTTGAGTAGAAGGAAAATACTTTTTTTATGTGCCAGAAACTTCATGAAACATGTGAAAGGCACATTGTGTCTGGCCAGGACAAAGTTGTGCCCCCTAGTCAATGTTGTACATATTTGCACAAGAAGAGGAATCAGGAACATTCATGCACAATACATGATACATTCATATAACCCAGGAACAGCACCCTGTTATTTGATGCCAGATTGTCATATGTTCTGCAGTTAATGGTTGGTGATGGAAGGGTTAATGTGAGTTTTAGTTCTAGAGCAGTGGTTCTCAACCTGGGGTCCCCAGATGTTTCTGGCCTTCAACTCCCAGAAATCCTAACAGCTGATGAATTGGCTGAGATTTCTGGGAGTTGTAGGCCAAAAACATCTGGGGACCCCAGGTTGAGAACCACTGTTCTAGAGGGTTTGGAAATATGCAAGTGGTAGTTCATGGGTGAAAGCAATTAGGGATGGAGGTGTGCAGGAGATGGGTTGCAGCCGGGTGTTACTGGATTAAAAGAGCTAACATTGAAACTGATTTTTGGGAGAAAAGTATCTGTTGTATTTTGGTGGTGGATGCTGCTGGTTTTCCCCCCAGGTCTGTTGGATTTTTTGGTATCCTGACCTGTCTCCTGTAATCTTGGAATCCTGGAACCTTGAACCTTTGGACTGGCTTTTGACTATGGTATAGACTCTTGATCCCTGGACTCTGTTATTGAACTCTTTGGACCCTTTTGACTATGAAGTTATTTTTGCTGTCAGTTTTTGTTTATTCTGCAGTTGCTATCTTTGTGTTTTATATTTTGGTCTATTAAAACAGCCAGCAAGTAAGTGCTGTTTTAATTAAACTGTTTGATAAAACTGGGAGTTTGATTTATCTCTACCTAAACAAGGTAGAGCCCTGGCAATGTGACACACGTGCACACAACCAAATTTGTCTGGCCAGATGGCCAGGCAGCCAGGCTCTAAAATGTGTCAATAATGATGAAGTTCTGTTCCTGGGTTGAAAGTGTGTGTTCCTGTTTGATTGTGCAGTGCTGACTTGGACAGAAGTGGTCCTACCCTGTAAACTTTGTGTGACAGATTCTTCATGAAATGTCTGGAAGGTGCAGTTTTTCTGGCCAGGACAAAGAATTGAACTTTTGCAGTGATTCGCTGCAGTGATTCTCTGCATATCCACAAAAAAGCACTGAAGTTTCCAGTGGAAGTCCTGCAGTCTTGGGAGCTTCTAAATCCCGCAACAGTCTGCACACTGGAAGAAGAAATCCCAGGACCAAGAGGTCTGTATGTTAACCTCTTCTGAAATCCCAGGATTTTTTGCCCCTGTTTTAAACCCATTATTTAGTGCTGTCTGGAAGTGCCCTGAGATGGTCTTTTGTTTGATATTATTATAATTATTGTTGCAATGTATCACTTTTATTGCAATCCAGATGTTTGATCAAATTCAGTGGCTTCCTGATGGGTACTGATGGCTCAGTCGGCGAACAGAAATATTAAAGTAAACGAATAAATAAATACATAAGTAGTGACTGCACAATGACATCCTAATGCTTTCACTGGGATGGAGGAAAGTCTTGCTTTCTAGGGTCTGGTGGAATTGCCCGATTGCCATAGGGATGAGAGGGGCAAAAATGAATGTTCAGGAAGTGCACAAACAAAGCAATAATCACAGCCGAGGGGTTTCCCTTAATGTTCAATGTCTGAGGGTGTAACTACAAACCAAAGCAATTGTAGATGCGTGAGATTCAGGGGCCAGCATTGTGAATAAAGAGTAATAGAAAGCAATTTGGTTTTCCTTCAGAGATCATTGATTTTGGTCCCTGCTGGTAATTAAGGTCACGCATTAACCAACACAGTTCTCTTCTAATGCTCCATGCAGTCACGGTAGTTTGAGCTGAGGTCAGTATGTGGCATGAGGAGGATTTCCACTTGCAAGTATAGTCGGCCCTCTGTATCCATGAATTCTGTATCTACTATCCAACAGATTCAATAACCCACAGCTTGGCCTGGTGTGTGTATATATATATATATGTGTGTGTGTGTGTGTATAATATGTTCTAAAAAAAAAATCTTGATTTTGCCATTTCATTTAAAAGACACTGCTTTACTACACTACTGCATCTAGTGTGGTTTTAGCATTCATGGATTTTGGGATACAGATGGGTCCAGGAGTCTAACTCCAGCTAATACAAAGGGTGTATGATAGATTGTAGCATTCATGCCCAGCATTATTTTTTTTAAAAAAATTAATTTTACATTTGGCCCAGCCATAGGTTTTTAATTGCTTGTTGTGTTACTGTATTGCTCATTTTATTTCTGTTTATGAGATATATTTTAACTGTTTTGTATTGTTTGTTTAAGTAAAGGTAAAGGTAGTCCCCTGACATTAAGTCCAGTCATGTCTGACTCTGGGGTGTGGTGCTCATCTCCATTTCTAAGCCGAAGAGCCAGCGTTGTCCGTAGACACCTCCAAGGTCATGTGGCCGGCATGACTGCATGGAGCGCCGTTACCTTCCCGCCGGAGCGGTACCTATTGATCTACTCACATTTGCATGTTTTCGAACTGCTAGGTTGGCAGAAGCTAGGGCTGACAGCGGAAGCTCACGCCGCTCCCCGGAATCGAACCTGCGACCTTTCGATCAACAAGCTCAGCAGCTCAGTGCTTTAACCCACTGCGGCACCGGGGTTTGTTTGCTATTGCTTTATTATTGATGTATTGTGGGCTCGGCCTCATGTAAGCCACACTGAGTCCCTTGGGGAGAAGGTACCAGGGTATAAATAAATTATTATTATTATTATTATTATTATTATTATTATTATTATTATTATTTCAAGGTAGGCAGATAGATTTATTTATTTCCTATATTTATATCCTGCCCTTCTCAACCCTGAAAGGGACTCAGAGTGGCTTTACAATTGACAGCAATTCAATGCCGTCAACATACAATAGAAATTAAACATATATATCAAAAGCAAAAACTAAAAGCAATACGAACATTAAAAACACGGTTTTAAAATCACCAAGTCCGAGGGCATAGTCAACGGCTGTTTAGGTTGTTATTGCACATAATTCTACTTCACTAGCCACTGCTTAGACCTGGGGTAACTCCACTTCCCACGCTGAATGAATGGAGTATAGACTATTTTTGCATTTTGAATCTATTTTTGCATCTACAAAAGAAAGTTGAGGACAAAATAAGAAAGATAGAGAGAAGCTGTGACCATTTTAAAATCAGCTAAAACCATGGTCAGAAACTTACCTGTATATTACTGCAAAATCTGGTCTAGCTACCCAGACTACAATTATGCAAAGGGGAGTAATTTTTATGTCTGCATGACCCCCTTCAAAAAAACAACACCCCGCCTTCCCAGCAAAATTCAAACAGTATGATGTCATTTGTACCCAACATTTCCTTTGATTTTGAGAGGCACTGGAATATGAAACGGCTCCATTTGTGCATAAGTTGGGGGAAGGCTTGGTAATTTAGGTGCAATAAAAAAATCACCTGAAAACCACTCCCTTGTTGTTGTTCTTTACATTTTGGGGAAGTTTTAAGGTTACATTGTCCCCTCATGAGCCAAAATCTTGGGGATCATGTGGAATCCATGGTCCATATTTTTCCCATCTCTGTTTAGGGTTAAAGAAAGATTGCTACTCACTAGTTCATGGTGCTGTACCCCTTGGCTTTAGTGAATCCCACAGAGATGGCCACCACCAAGGCAGGCAAGCCTAAATGCAAGGGGAAAAAAGATATTATATTTAAAGTAATTATTTGTAAATGAGTTTTCTTCAAACTATACTCTTATAATCATAGAATCAAAGAGTTGGAAGAGACCTTGTGGGCCATCCAGTCCAACCCCATTCTGCCGAGAAGCAGGAAAATCACATTCAAAGCATGCGCGATAGATGGCCACCCAGCCTCTGTTTAAAAGCCTCCAAAGAAGGAGCCTCCATCACACTCTGAGACAGAGAGTTCCACTGCTGAACAGATCTTACAGTAAGGAAGTTCTTCTTCATGTTCAGGTAGAATCTCCTTTCCTCTAGTTTGAAGCCATTGTTCCATGCCCTAGTCTCCAGAGTAGCAGAAAAGAAGCTTGCTCTCTCCTCTCTATGACTTGCCCTCACCTCTATATCCATGGCCCTCATCACATCTCCTCTCAGGTTTCTCTTCTTTAGGCTAAACATGCCCAGCTCTTTAAGCTGCTCCTCATAGGGCTTGTTCTCCAGACCCATGATCATTTTAGTTGCTCTCCTCTGGACGCATTCCAGCTTGTCAATATCTCCCTTCAATTGTGGACTCAGAATTGGACACAGTATTCCAGTATCAAGGTTGTCATGTATCAAGGTTGTCATTTTCTTGGGAATGTGTGATGGAGGATGTATTTGCTCCCATGTCCTGCTTGTGGGTTTCCAATCACAATATCCAATTAGTCCCAGAATGTCCATTGGGGTGTACCTACCTACATTGTAAAATGAATGCAGTTTGACACCACCTCAAGTGCTATGACTCAGTGTTATGGAAACCTGGGAGTTGTCATTTGGTGAGGTACCAATACTTCTTGGCAGAAAAGGCTAAAGATCATGCAAAACTATAGCTCCCCAGATTCCACAGTATTGAGCCATGACCCCAGACCATGGACTTCCCTCCCGTGAAAGGTCTGCTTAGCTCCCTCTCCATTTTCTTTCTTTTAGAAGCATTCCTTATTTACCAAGAACATCGAAGGTTGAACTGGTTACAACCTTCCCTCCCTCTTTCTCTCCTTGTTTCTTTTTCTCCTTCCTTCCCTCCCACTTTACTTCCTTCCCTTTTTCTTTCCTTCTCTCCTTCCTTCCTTCTCTACCTCTTTGCTTCCTTCCCCTCCCTTTTCCTTTTCCTTTCCCTTTTTCTCCTTTCTTCCTTCTCTACCTATTCTTGGACTGCAACTTCCATCTATCTACATACCTATCTATCTCTATCTAATCTATCTATCATTTCTATCTGGAGGATTGCCAGGAGTTGCAATCCAGGAATAGGAAATTAGAAATATGCAGGGATTGGGATGCTCTCAAAGAAATCCAAGGAGAAGAAAGCTTACAGCTTGGAAGCAGTGCATTTGGAGCATTCTCCTCCCCTAAAGGGCCTGGTCTAGGGGATGTTGGGAGCTGTAGTCTGGAAGAAAAGGGAGCACCTTTGTAGGCTCTGGACTCTGTTGTGCTGAGGAATGGTTGGAGGAAGTGAAATCAGAATATATTGTTGCTTCGGGAATGTTTCGGAAAGGGATCTTGCTCACTGGGTCCACTTCTACCAAACAAGATGATTACCAAAGCTGATGGAGGGGGAAGCGATAGGGATCAATGGACCACCTTTCCCTTCCTCTCTCAAGTGGCCCCTTCTTCAAAAAATGGAATTCGGATATTATTAAATTTATTTGGAAAAACGGAAAATCAAGAATTAGTTTCAAAATTTTAACCGATGAAAAAAAAAGAGGGGGTTTGGGACTGCCAAACCTCAAGGTATATTATGAAGCCTGTAATTTGGTTGGGATCAAAGAATGGGCAACATTAAAAAACACTAAGTTACTAAATCTTGAAGGCCATGACCTAAGGACTGGCTGGCATTGCTATATGTGATATAGCAAAAGAAAAACAGAAAAAAACTTCAATAACCACTATATCAGAACAGCCCTAATTAAAACTTGGGAGAAATACAATCCGAGACTATACAGGAATGTTCCATTGTGGATTTCTCCAATGGAAGCGAGACATAAAAGGGAACTTGGAGAAGAGAATTGGTTAAGCTATAATCAAATTCTAAAAAAAAATGACGGAAAATTCGAATTAAAATCACTATAGAGCCATGTTCTAGAGGCATTTCTCCTGACGTTTCGCCTGCATCTATGGCAAGCATCCTCAGAGGTAGTGAGGTCTGTTGGAATTAGGACAATGGTTTTATATATCTGTGGAATGGCTGGGGTGGGGCAAAGAGCTCTTCTCTGCTGGAGCTAGGTGTGAATGTTTCAACTGACCACCTTCATTAGCATATTATTTGAGAACACAGAAATGCTGGACCACTCCAACAACCACCATGTCAGACTACACAAAGAAGCCATTGAAATCCACAAGAAGCATGTGGACAATTTCAACAGAAAGGAAGAGACCATGAAAATGAACAAAATCTGGCTACCAGTATTAAAAAACTCTAAAATTACAACAGCAAAACAACAGAGAGGAAACAACCAGGTGCATCTTAACACCTCTCAGCAAGAGAATTTCCCAGGCTCAGCCACGCCTTCAAATGCTAATGAAGGTGGTCAGTTGAAACATTCACACCTAACTGCAGCAGAGAAAAGCTCTTTGCCCCACCCCAGCCATTCCACAGATATATAAACCCATTGTCCTAATCCCAACAGACCTCACTACCTCTGAGGATGCTTGCCATAGATGCAGGTGAAACGTCAGGAGAAATGCCTCTAGAACATGGCTCTATAGCCCGAAAAACCCACAAGAACCTAGTGATTCCAGCCATGAAAGCCTTCGACAATACATTAACATTACATTTTTATTTATATAGATCAGGGGTCCCCAAACTAAGGCCCAAGAGCCGAATACGGCCCTCCAAGGTCATTTACCTGGCCCTCACTCAGGGTCAACCTAAGTCTGAAACGACTTGAAAGCACACAACAACAACAACAATCCTATCTCCTCAGCCAAAAGCAGGCCTACACTTCCCATTGAAATACTAATAAGTTTATATTTGTTAAAATTGTTCTTCATTTTTAATTATTGTATTGTACACATAAGATATGTATAGTTTGCATAGGAATTCATTCATTTTTTTCCAAATTATCATCTGGCCCTCCAACAGTTTGAGGGACTGTGACCTGGCCCTCTGTTTATAAAGTTTGTGGACCCCTCATATAGATGAACAAACCTTTTAAATCTTGTGGACTTTGTGGAGATCTGCAATGACCAACTTGATGCCAGTAGATGGAGTGTTGAGTCATACTTTCATTATTATTTCTGCTTGAAAACAACAGTGAACCAGCACCATGGTATATAGCGGCTTGGATGCTGAACTAGGGCCCCTTCGGCACTGCCATATAAAATCCAGATGATCTGCTTTGAACTGGATTCTATGGCAGTGTAGATTCATATTTGTTGTTCTTGTTCATTCAGTTGTTTCTGACTCTTCGTGCCCTCATGGACCAGCCCACGCCAGAGCTCCCTGTTGGCCGTCACATTCCCCAGCTCCTTCAGAGTCAACCCAGTCACTTCAAGGATGCCATCCATCCATCTTGTACTTGGTCGGCCCCTCTTCCTTTTTCCTTCCATTTTCCCCAGCATCATTGTCTTCTCTAAGCTTTCCTGTCTCCCCATGATGTGGCCAAAGTACTTCAACTTTGTCTCTCGTATCCTTTCCTCCAATGAGCAGTCGGGCTTTATTTCCTGAAGTATGGACTGGTTGGATCTTCTCACAGTCCAAGGCACTCTTACTCCAGTTCAAAGCAGATAATGTGGATTATCTGCTTTGATAATCTGGATTATATGACAGAGTAGAAGGGGCTTATGACTGTACCTCCAAAATCTTCTCAAGATGTTCACATCCCACTAAAGCAGTGGTTCTCAACCTTCCTAATGCCGTGACCCCTTAATACAGTCCCTCATGTTGTGGTGACCCCCAACCATAATATTTTTTTTGTTGCTACTTCATAATAGTCATTTTATTACTGTTATAAATCATAATGTAAATATCAGATATGCAAGATGCATTTTCATTCACTGGACCAAACTGGGCACAAATACCCAATGCAACCACATGTAAATGCTTGTGGTGTTGGGGGAGGATTGATTTTGTAATTTGAGAGTTGTTGTTGCTGGGATTTATAGTTCACCTATAATCAAAGAGCATTCTGAACTCCACCAGTGATGGATTTGAACCTAATTTGCCACACAGAACTCCCATGGCCAATAGAAAACACTGGAAAGGTTTGGTGGGTATTGACCTTGAGTTTGGGAGTTGTAGTTCACCTATATCCAGAGAGCACTGTGGACTCACGCAATGGTGGATCTGGACCAAACTTGGCACAAATACTCAATATGTGCAAATGTGAACACTGGTGGAGCTTGGGGAAAATAGACCTTGACTTTTGGGAGTTGTAGTTGCTGGGATTTATAGTTCATTACAATCAAAGAACATTCTGAACTCCACCAACGATAGAATTGGCTCAGACTTCCCATATGGAATCCCCATGACAATCAAAAAATACTGTGTTTTCTGATGGTCTTTGGTGACCCCTCTGACACACCTTCGCGACCCCCTCAGGGGTCCCGACCCCCAGGTTGAGAAACACTGCACTAAAGTATTTTGCTTGTAACTTTCCAAATACTTAAGGACTTTAGTCCATGAGATTGATTTCTTGCTTTCCCTTCCAAAATAGAGAAGGTTATTTCTAGTAAGAATTTAATCAGATTTGTGTATTTCTTCAAATCCTAAACAAGGGAAAAGTGAACTTGGTCAATTTATCAATCAGGCTCTTAGCTGCTGAATTGGCATATAGTACAATGTTGGTATTTATGCAAAAGGTGGTAAATTCAAGCCCGCTTATCTGTATGAATGTAGATTTATACTAGATATTTATAAAATACGATCTTGGGTCTTATAATGGCATCCTCAAATGTATAAACTCCATAATTTGAATTATTTTTTCTCAACAAGCTTAAAAAGCCAAGGGATATTAGTAGTTGTAATC